AAGTATATATTCACATATCTTAGGTTAAAATAAAATACTTAAGGCATGTAGGCTATTTATGATAGTCCCTACTTCCACTGACTTTTTAAAACTAACTGCCCTACCATATGAATCTAGCTGTTTTAGGTATGGGAGGATCTATTGTAGTTATAAACTGCATAAGAATTAGAAAGAAAATGAGCAGAGCACAGTGAGAGAGAATAACAAGGGGTTGTGTGTACCTAGTAGATAATGGGATGCCAGATACAGCAAACAAACAACTATGGACACCTAAAAAGAAGATTTAATCATATATTTCATAAACTAGTAGTTTCACGGAAAGTTATAGGAGTTAGTCTCTGACAGTGAGTCATAACCTTTTAAATGTAAATACATATGAACCACAGTAATCTAAAAAGTATTAAGGGACTTCCCTGGTGGTCCAGTGGATAAGACTCCGCACTCCCAATTCAGGGGACACGGGTTTGATCCCTGGTCGGGGAACTAAGATCCTGCATGCCACATGCCACACAGCGCGGGCAAAAAAAAAAGTATTATAATCAAGATATTACCAATACTTGGCATCAAGTATAAAAGATCATACCAGATTGCCATTTGTTGCAATTATGTAAAAAAGAAGATTCCTCCTCTACAGGTTGGATCTATTCTGATATTTTTTCAAGTGAACAAATCTCAAAGTTGAGTTCTTTGAATTATGACATTGTTTGAAAACCATTCTTCTAGAAAGGCTACTTGAAGCAGAACTATGCAAAGTATGTTAGTGAGAAAGACTTGAGAGGGAGAGATCAGAACCGAGCAATGGTCCAAGGGAGGGATGATGGCACTTGATTTTGGGAAACGGCTATGGACATGGAGACGAGGGAATGGATTCAAGAGATATTTAAGAGACAGACTGATGGTTCATGAAGACCAGGCAGACATGGAGGGTAAGAGAGCACCCTCTATGAAGACTTCCAGATTTCTATCCTGAGTTATCTACCTACAAGTATTCATTTATTACCCCAGAAAATGAAACCCTGTGTGTTATACTCTTTAAGTGAAAGTTGGTCTGGCGGGGGTTGGGGGTGAGGGTGGTCAAAAGGCACAAACTTCCAGTTATAAAATAAGTCAGTCATGGGGATGTGATGTACAGAAGGTGACTATACTTAATAATACTGAACTGCATATTTGAAAGTTGCTGAGAGTCGATCTTAAAAGTTCTCACCACAAGAAAAGAAAAAAAAATTGTAAATATCTGTGATGATGGATGTTAACCAGACTTCTTGTGGTGATCATTTCACATTATACACAAATATTGAATCATGTCATATACCTGAAACTAATAGAATATTATGTCAATTATATCTCAATTAAAAAAAAAGTTGGTCCAAGTGAAAGTTCATTATATCAAAATCAACTTGAGACTAAAATGAGAGTATTAAGCATAAGAAAGGCTCAGAGACCAAATAAAAAAACAGCAGTGGTCTCATATAGGTGAAGAGGAAGAATTGGGGGTCATGAATACTCCTGGCCTGGTAACTATTTTTCAATCAAATCATTTTAATTTCAAATGGACATTTACATTATTCAACTGTGTGGCTCCCAAATTAGTAATTTTTCAAAGAATATATCAATAAGTAAGTCCACAAAATACTAACATTAAACATGCAACATTTAAATAAATTAATTTAGATATAGACTAGATAAACACAAAAAACCCACAGGAAAGATAAACCCATAGGAAAGATAAACACAAAAAACCCATCTCTTTAATAAAACCCTGATTAATTCAACAAATATTTTGTTTATTTAGCAAATATTTATTGAGCTCCTACTACATGTTAGGAATTGTTCTTACTGAAAATTTAGCAAGGCAGGGGGGAACAGATATATATATACACACATATGCCACAAAAGCAGGTATCATATGTATTCGTTATCTTATATATGTTTAGATATAACAATTACACATATATAGAGATAAATTTATAATTGCAATATATATTGTCTAATTGATGTAATATATATCTTTAACTTTCTTTTTTTTGGCCACACCACGCGGCATGCGGGATCTTAGCATTCCCTGACCAGGGACTGAACCTGTGCCCCCTGCACTGGAAGCACGGAGTCTTAACCACTGGACCACCAAGGAAGCCCCTATATCTTATATATATAAAGTATATATAAGATACTGCTCTGCGTCTTATATATATCTTTGATATACCATATATAGATAAAGATACCTGCTCTTATAGAGCTCATATTCCACTAAGTAGAGACAGTAACTAAATATTCACAATATCAGGTTAATGGCTCCTTAGCACTTCTGAAATCTCAGATGACAAGGATCCATAGCCTTCTAAAATTGGGCTCCTATTCAACTCTCCAACTTTATTGCTCATGTTCCTACACTCACTTCACTCACTCACAAAATTATAGAACTCACTGTTCTAAATGTGGTCCTGTATTCTCTCAGTTTGCTACCATTCTCTCCATCCAGAAACTGTCGCCACTTATCTCCAAGTGTTACTAACTCTGCCAAGGCTCAGCTCAAGAGGCACTGCTTCCTATAAGGAGATACCTCCCAGCCAAAAGTGACCTTTCTCCTATGAACCCCTAGGGTACTAACGACTATGGTGATACTGACTACACTGGGCTGTGCACTAAAAACTCTTTGTCACATCTGACTAAATGCTTTCACACTCATGGTGGGCTTCATGAGTGTGTAACCTGTCTTGTGCTTGGTTTAATGCTTTAGTGTCAACCATCTTGAAATGCTTAATAAATTGTGAACAAGGAGTCCTGCATTTTCATTTTATACTGGACCCTGAAAATTATGCAGCCAGTCCTGTTCATGTTAAACATTGCATGCAATCCTCAGTCCAAAAAAACAAAAGAAACAAAAAACCCCAAAAAACCCCCCAGAAAGTAAGCAAGAAAGGTATTGTAATTTTCATTTTTTAAAAAAGAGACCTTATGTCCATAAATTCTGGGTACAGGCTGCTAAACAGGGATAACTGACCCTCCTTTCTGGATTAAGAAGATAAAAATAAGCCAAGTCAGCTCAAAAATAAAACTTTGTGTATATGGTCAACTGATCTTCACAAGGGTGCCAAGATCATTCAGAGGGGGAAAGGACAGTCTAGTCACATCAACAAATGGTATTAGGAAAACTGTATTTCCACATACAAAAGAATGAAGTTGGATCCTTATCTTACATCACACACAGAAATTAACTCTAAATGGATTAAAGACCTAAAACTATACAACTCCTAGATGAAAACAGGAGGAAAGCGTTCATGGCATTAAACTCAGCATGATTTCTTGGACATGACACCAAAAGCACAGGCAAAAAAGGAAAAATATGCAAATGGCACAATATCAAACTTAAAAACTTTTGAGCATCAAAGGACGTATCAACAGAGTGAAAGGCAACCTACAGAATGGGAGAAAATATGTGCAAATCGTATATCTGATAAGGGGCTAATATCCAGAATACATAAAGAATACTTATGTACAACAACAAAAAATCAAATAACTCAAAAAATGGGCAAAAGATTTGAATAGACATTTCTCCAAAGATGCTTAACATCATAGGAAAAGATGCTCAACATCACTAATCATCAGAGAAATGCAAATCAAAACCACAGTGAGGGCTTCCCTGGTGGCGCAGTGTTTGAGAGTCCGCCTGCCGATGCAGGGGACACAGGTTTGTGTCCCGGTCTGGGAAGATCCCACATGCTGCGGAGCGGCTGGGCCCGTGAGCCATGGCCGTTGAGCCTGCACGTCTGGAGCCTGTGCTCCGCAACAGGAGAGGCCACAACAGTGAGAGGCCCGCATACCGCAAAAAAAAAAAAAAAAAGAGTATCTGAGCAGTGCATCTCCACCTCTACCACAAAGACATTCTGTTTACAGAGAATGACATGGACAGAGACACAAAGCAAATTGTGTATAGGAAATAGCAGACAAATGAACTTAACCCCATGTAGATGTGACTTTGCCATGTTATTAGGTATTCTGAAGGTGTGTGGCCTTAGAATGTGTCTCGGTGTCAGGAGCTTTACAGTGGTTGCCTAGAATCATTCTATGATGTGAGCTGTAGAGTTTTTGTGTGCCCCAAAAAAAAAAAAAAAAAAAAAAAAAAAACCCACAGTGAACCATCACTTCACCCTCATTAGGATGGCTACTATAGAAAATATAGAAGATAACAAGTGTTTGTAAGGATGTGGAGAACCTGGAACCAACTGCTGGTGGGATTTTGAAATAGTGCAACCAGTGTGGAAAAGAGTATGGTAGTTCCTCTCAAAATTAAAAAAAGAACTACCATATGATCCAGCAATCTCACTTCTGGGAATATATCCAAAAGAATTGAAAGCAGGGACTCAAAAGAACTATTCATACAACCCATGTTCATAGCAGCAACTATTCACAGTAATCAGGAGGTGGAAACAACTCAAATGTCCATCAATAGATGAATGGATAAACAAAATGTGGTATATACATACAATAGAATATTATTTACCCTTAAAAAACCAGGAAATCCTGTTACATCCTACAATATGAATGAAACTTGAGTACATATTATGTTGAATGAAATAAACCAGTAACAAAAAGACAAATACTGCATGATTCCACTTATATGAGTCCTCTAAAGTAGTCGCATTCATAGAAATAGAAAATAGAATTGTGCTTACCAGGAGCTGGGGGGGAGGGTGGAAAGGGGAGTTGTTATTTAGTGGGTACAGAACTTCTCATTTATAAAATGAAAATGTTCCAGAGATCTGTTTCACAATAACGTAAGTAAACCTACTACTGAAATGTACACTTAAAAATTGTTAAGATGGTAAATTTTATGTTATGCATTTTTACTGCACACACAACACACACACACAGAGTCAAGTCAGAAAACTAATTACATTCTTTGTAGCATTACTTTGTGTTAAAATAACCTCTCGGGGTATATGGACCACAATATAAACCACAAAGTATAAAAATATCTTATATTCAGAAAACTTAGTTACCTGCAACAAATCCAACTACCAGATCCTTTCCAGTAGTAGAATGTTGACCTTTGACCCAGACTGCTTTGAGGCTATTAAAAGTGTAGAAATAGACAAAATTGGAGCAGCAGAGACTGGAGATAACTGGAAACCACCCTCGATACGGTGCCAGGCTAGGGGAAGAACATAATAAGCAAAGTAAAAATGCTGAACAAAAGGCACTAGAAATGAGAGTCCTAGAAAAGGCTGATCATCATTCACATATTCTCCAAGTTCACTCCTACACTACAATGTACTCCACACTGTACACATATTCTACATTCTGAGGATGCCCAAACCAAGAAATCTTTTCTAGCATTAATGATACCAAAGAAACAACATACATTCTATGACTGATTTACTGATTTCCCCCCTTGATTTCCTTTAGTAAATTACTATGTAAAATTAAAGACAATTTCCTCATGGCTGTTAGTTAATATAGCATCATTCACATTTTATTACAGGGCAAGAACACTTAAAATGAAGTAAATATAGAAGTGCAAAAAAAAAAAAGTGATGGGGGCATGTTATAAGGGCACAGGAACCAGACTGAAAGAGCTCACACTGGCCACACTTGGGACAATTTAAGCACCAAAATAATTAAGAAATTAATTGTAAACCACTGAATTTCTGAGTCTGTATGATACTAAATTAAGTATTTCCTCATAGACTGCTTATAGTTGCAAAAGAGGAAAAATAAAATTATTCAGTGCTAACTTGAATCTAAGAAATCATAATTAACCAATGAAGGGCAAGTGGACAATATGTGACTCCAATGTGACATCCTGAGGAGGACACAATTTCACCTATACATTATTCTGGCCAAGAATGCATAGACTCAATCTAATCATGAAGAAACATGAGGCAAACTTAAAGTGAGAAAAATTTTATTTAAGGAAAAATAAGGGGAGAAGGTCCACATCTTTGAAAATGTCAGTCGTAGGGGTAAGGGGCTTTGATGTATGGTATGTAACTTACTCTCAAATTAATTCTGAAAAAATCTGTGTGTGGTGTGTGTATGTGTCTGTGTAGTAAAGAAAGAAGGAGGGAGTGGGGAAGGGAGGGAGAAAGCATGAGCACAAACGGAAGAGTGTTAACAACAGGTCGATCTGGTTAAAACACATACTGGTATTCTTTGTACTATTTTAGTTTTGCAACTTTTTGTAAATTTGAAATTATTTCCAAATAAAACGTTTTTAAAAAGGTACACAGGTCTGAATGCATCTGATAGGAATGAGCTAAACAACTATTACCTTCTTCAGTTTATTGTTCATTGGTTTCATGTAAGACTCCATGATCAAGAATCAAAGTGGTCAAGCACAGAACTTTGAGGAAATGAAAACAACTATGTATTTACTTACAAGTCAGGCAATTACAAATTCACAACACTGTGAGGCTTTGAGAATGGATAGAAAGTGAGTGTAGGTATGATGGACGCCCAGGAATCTCCTAATGAGCTGCTCTACCTAACAAGGATGAACAAGGTAGTACTCACAGGCCTTCCTCTTTAATGATCTCCAGGAGCACCATGTGTGTCGTTTTGGACTTTCTTTTCTCATCAACTACAAGACCAAAGAGTACACGTTTAAACTAAATCCTTTGAGAATTGTTATCTTCAGCATCAGCAAGTTTCACTGAAATGCCATTTACCTCACCTGAGCAGTCTCTCACCCTATTCTTTGAGTTCCCTAGTTTGCCTCAGAACTCAATGATCCTCCTGTGTTCCCATGTGCTAAATTTCCTACTATTGATTCCATGGTTTCATCTGTTATTCATGAACCATAAAGCGTTTTAATTCAATACCTAATTTCCAAAGTAAAAGATGTAACAGGAGAAATTTATTTCTTATATTTCATAGGGCTCTCTAGTTTTTTTTTCAAAGTTATATATTCTCCTTTTTATCTTAATATCTTATAAAGTAGAGAGGAAATAAATTAACATTTCCCTTTCAGAGAAGAGGTTATAGACACAAAGCTGTGAAGGACACATGTAGTTGGCAGCAGAGCCGGGATTAAAATTCAAGTTTACAAAGTTTTAACCTTGTGCTCTGTTCCCTAATCTAAAAAAATAAAAGGTCTCAAAAAGATGGGAACTCTGCTTTTCTTGGAATTCTAAATGAAAACAAAATGTACCTTAATTAACTTCAAATTCCTACCCACATCTGAAGACTATTTTGAAAACATAAAAATAGGAAAATGAACCGATTTCTTAAGAATTAAAATTGGTACCTTTATGGCTCATGGGATGGCAAGTTACAAAACCCCTGTACAAGGCGATCTAACAATAACTATCAAAATTACAAACATTTGCCCTTTGATCAAACATCCCATTTCTGGGAATTTATCTCATAGAACTTACAGAAACAAATTAGCATATGGGGACGTCCCTGGTGGTGCAGTGGTTAAGAATCCGCCTGCCAATGCAGGGGACGCAGGTTCAAGCCCTGGTCCAGGAAGACCCCACATGCTGTGGAATAACTAAGCCTGCGAGCCACAACTACTGAGCCTGCGCTCTGGAGCCCGCGAGCCACAACTACTGAGCCTGCGTGCCATAACCACTGAAGCCTGTGCGCCTAGCACCCATGCTCTGCAACGAGAAGCCACTGCAATGAGAAGCCCATGCACTGCAATGAGAAGCCCACGCACCGCAACAAAGAGTAGCCCCCGCTTGCCACAACTAGAGAAAAGCCTGCACGCATCAACGGAGACCCGATGCAGCCAAAAATAAATAAATTAATCAAATTTATTTTTAAAAATCTAGAAACAATAAATGCTGGAGAGGGTGCGGAGAAAAGGCACTGCACTGTTGGTGGGAATGTAAATTGATACAGCCACTATGGAGAACAGTATGGAGGTTCCTTAAAAAACTAAAAATAGAACTGCCATATGACCCAGCAATTCCACTACTGGGCATATACCCTGAGAAAACCATAATTCAAAAAGATACATGTACCACAATATTCATTGCAGCACTACTTACAGTAGCCAGGACATGGAAACAACCTGAATGTCCATCGACAGATGAATGGATAAAGAAGGTGTGGCACATATATACAATGGAATATTACTCAGCCATAAAAAGGAATGAAATAGAGTTATTTGTAATGAGGTGGATGGACCTAAAGTCTGTTATACAGAGTGAAGTCAGAAAGAGAAAAATACCGTATGCTAACACACATATATGGAATCTAAAAAAACGGTACTGGTGAACCTAGTGGCAGGGCAGGAATAAAGACCCAGATGTAGAGAACGGACTTGAGGACACGGGGAGGAAGGGGAAGCTGGGACGAAGTGAGAGAGTAGCATTGACATATATACACTACCAAATGCAAAATGGACGGCTAGTGGGAAGCTGCTGCATAGCACAGGGAGATCAGCTTGATGCTTTGTGATGACCTAGAGGGGTGGGAGAGAGAGGGTGGGAGGGAGTCTCAAGAGGGAGGAGATATGGGGATATATGTATGCATATAGCTGATTCACTTTGTTGTACAGCAGAAACTAACACAACATTGTAAAGCAATTATACTCCAATAAAGATATTTAAAAAATGCTGTTAAGTAAAAATGCAAGATATGGAACAGTGTGAAAAGTATGCTTTTTGAGTAATAAAGAGAGGAAATTGAGAATATATATTATTTGCTTGTTTTTCTATATAAAGAAACTCTCAGGGCTCTTTGAGAGACTAATAGAGACATTATCTACAGGGGAAAGAAAAGGAGACAGTGTAGAGTGAGATTTTTCACTGTACTGCCTATCTTTTTATGTATTTTGGGTTTTGAGTCATATAAAATTATTACCTTTCCAAAATCTCTAAAATTAATTGAAAATAGTGGTCATGAAGGATTTTAATATAGGAATTAGTTTATTCAAAGCTAATCTTACTCTTATCTCTTCATCTAAGTCCTGGCATAGGTTTATAATTTAAAGTTGAAAAATACTGAGGCAAGAACAAGCAGGAGTTACAGAAAGTTGCACAGCCCTATAAAGTGAAAGGGGAGACTAGGACTACGTGCCCACGTGAGCAGTGACAATGGTATTTGGCTCCACCATGTTTCCTATTCTCTGTTCTCTTTCCAGAAAATCTACCCCCAGTAAAAAAAAAAATCTCTACATTGTGCCTTTCAAAAGTCGTATTGTTTATTAGAATGAACTGTGATGATTCAAAATTACTAATGCAAGCCCACTCAGGTCTCTCAGATTAGAAAATGGCTGAGGCTATGACTCATTCACAAACATCAAAAATAAAAGTATTTAAAGTTAGTGAAAATGGACAACAGATTTCTAATGAAATGGGAAATCCTATGTTAACTTAGAACTTAGTAGAGAAGTATGTTTGCTTCCTGATACCAAATGAACAGGAATATGATGACAATAAGATACTTACCTTGAAGTCGAAGTCGAGCTGTATCCAAGGGAAAAAATACTGTCATTGCTGTCATGCTTCCCTGAAAAGTTTGAAAAGCCTTTAGCCATTACAGTATCACAAAAATAATGAGCCACAACTTTTAAATGAACAAAAAGTTCATTATTATCAATGGGTCAGATGAAATTTTCAGTGAACAAATATACAGAATATTTTTATCTATTGGGATCATTAGTGTTCAAACTTCTGTAGTTATATACTTGAACAGACGTATTTAATTTTCCAGAAGAAATCTCTTTCTCTCTGATATTGAAAAAGAAAATGTAGTGGGTCCCTGGAGGTGACAAACTTAGGGATTTACAACCTAGGACACATGTCAAAGACAGCAGGTAAATGGACTTTTAACCTTTTACTGGTCAGCTACTACTCCTATGCTCTCCTCTGATACCCCCAGAAACCAAAAAATCTAGTGATCAAACAGAAATGTATTTCTATACTCTCTGCTTAATCAATATATTCACCACAAAGTAAAAGGGGTTTAAGAATCATATTGTTCTTTACAACAGTTCTGTTTGCTTGTGTTTTAAAAAAGAGGGACAATATCTTTGCTAAAAATTCTATAAATAATTTATCCAAGATAACACGACAAAAATTATCACTGGAAAAAAAAGAGAAGCCAACAACCAGTCTTTTCATCCATAAGGCCCTATGACAGATAAAAACCACAAGTATATAGTTAGGGATAAAATTATATGCATGATACCTCCAGGTGGGTTTATGGTTCTTAACCTAGATGCAGGCCCAGTGGTATATATTCTCAGGCATAAGGTCAAGTTTTAAGCTACTGATAGCATAACAGTAACATACATATTTTTATCATGATAACAATGGGAAACTAGGTCAACTTTATAGATAAGAACAAAAATGTGCTAGGTCTCTTATCTATTTAAATAGATCAGCCTGTTTGACAAGCAAGAACACTGTATTGTCCTATTAGTTACTCTTCGAAACTCAGATTAAATGTTACCGCCCCTACCCATCAGGTTCCTCTGTGTTCCCACAGCACTTGTTTATATGTCTCTTAGAGCACTCATATTGCAGTGAAATCTAACTCTTCCACCAGATTACAAGAATATCTATTTATCTCTTGGTATACCATATATTCTTAAATAAATGTTTATTAAATTCACTCTACTTTCAGTTATTTATACAATTTAGATGGCTCCCACATAAATGATCTTTCCTAGTAAGAACTAGATAATATTTCAAGAAACACTGGACCTGTAAAGGTTTACAGTCTACAAATCTATTCTTCTGGCATCCTTGCTCACCTTACAGGCAATTTCCAAGAAAAATGGGAGCTGGAAAGCTGGAGAACGCTTATCAAGGTTATTAAGGCCTTTACTTCCTATCACGTGGTACTAGCACACCTATGCAGAAAAGTCCTGCCTGGAAACTACTTTTTCAAACAATTGGATTACCTCCATCCCTCTTCCCCGTCAGCTTTAAATAGACACCTGAAGTTTCCTAACTTAGAAAACCCTGCCCTACCTACCTTGAAATCTTAAAGTACATTTTATACCAAGATAAAGAGAACAGTTTGTCCAAAGAGCTCAAAGATCCATTACCTCCTCAAGGACTAGCATAAAAAACTCAAATCTGTAAAAATAAAAAACACTTAAAAATGTATTAGTGCTGGAAAGACTGGATCCAGATGGTGAACTAAAAACCCACCACTGCCTCCTCCCCATTCCAATCACTAATAATGAGAGAGAAGATTTATATATAAAAGTGTTGTGTAGAAAAACAAAAGGGGTCTGAATGGTGGACCAGAAATTAAAAGGATAGCAGAGTGAGGCTGTTCTGAAAGAAGAAATCACAGACCGAAATGCACAGACAATAGCTATGGCAGGCAGAATAATGGCCCCCTGAAAGATGAACACATTCTAATCCACAGTACTTGTGAACATGTTACATTACATGGCAGGTTGCTAATTGGCTGATCTTAAAATAGGGAGTTTAGTCTGGATTTTCTGAGTGGGCCCAACGTAATCATAAGGGTCCTTAAAAGTGGAAGAGTAGGTCTTCCCTGGTGGCACAGTTTAAGAATCCGGCTGATCTTAAAATAGGGAGTTTAGTCTGGATTTTCTGAGTGGGCCCAACGTAATCATAAGGGTCCTTAAAAGTGGAAGAGTAGGTCTTCCCTGGTGGCACAGTGGTTAAGAATCCGCCTGCCAATGCAGGGGACACGGGTTCGAGCCCTGGTCTGGGAAGATCCCACATGCTGTGGAGCAACTAAGCCCGTGTGACACAACTACGGAACCTGTGCTCTAGAGCACGTGAGCCACAACTACTGAGCCCGCGAGCCACAACTACTGAGCCCGCACACCTAGAGCCCGTGCCCTGCAACAAGAAGCCACCACAAAGAGAAGCCCATGCACCGCAATGAAGAGTAGCCCCCGCTCGCTGCAACTGGAGAAAGCCCACGCGCAGCAACCAAGACCCAACGCAGCCAAAAAAAATAAAATAAAAAGTGGAAGAGTAGGTGGGAGTGAGGCAACGGAGGACTCAACCCATCATGGCTGGCTTTAAGATGGACAAAGGGGCCACTAGCCAAGGAATGTGGGCAGCCTCTAGAAGCCAGAAAAAGCAAGGAAATGGATTTTCTCCTAAGGGCCTCCAGAAAGGAACATGACCCAGCTGACACCTTAATTTTAGCTCAGTGAGCTGTACATCAGACTTCTGACCTACAGACCTACAGATATTAAACTTGTGTTGTTTTAAACCATTCAATCTGGTAACCTGTTACAACAGCAATAGAAAACTAATAAAACAGGATTACTACAAATGGTGGGGACCAGCCCGGGGAAGCAGAAGGGAGCTCTGGGGTGACTTTCCGGTTGACTAGCTGGTACTGTGACAACCACAGCCAGGCAGTCCCCATCCCAGGCAGTGACTGTGAATATGGAAACCTGAACTTGCCTGAGGTGAGCAGAAACGCTGAGACCTAGCCACTGTCACACCGTGCCAGAACCCATGCCACCTTTATACCACAATTCCTAGAAGCTGCCAGCAGTAAACAAGTACAGGCAGGGGGAGGGGCGCGCAGTGGCAAGGAAATAAAAAGCTTACTAGTTTTACCCTATTTAAGAAGAGGATATACACATACACACATGAATTTATTCTAGGTTTTGGCAAAAAACCTAAGTTTAAATGTGAGAGTTAAAGATGTAAGGGTGAAATGGGGGTTTCCACTGCCAGCAATATGCTGGCATACACCACACACTACAAAATACCTAGAACTGTTAACTAAAATATAAAATATTTTAAAAATTTTAAAATAAAATATAACATGTACCCTTTAAATGATTAGCTGAACCTCCTTGGGGCCACAAAGAAGAGTAGAAACCCAGAGGGTTAAGCAGCCTCCTTGGCGTTCATTGAGAGGATTTTTTTTGCAAGTCTAAGTGATCAAGGGGCTTTGTTATTATTATTTTTTTAACTGAAGTGGAATTCCCATAACATAAAATCAACCACTTGAAAGTATACCATTCAGTGACATTTAGTAAGTACATTCATAATATTGTGTAACCGCCACTTGTATCATGTTCCAGAATATTTTCATCACCCCGAAGACAACCCTGTGCCTGTTAAGCAGGCATGCCCCACTTCCCCCTCCGCTCAGCCCTGACAACCACTAATCTGCTTTCTGTCTCTATAGATGTACATATTCTGGACATTTCATATAAAAACAATCGTGCAAGATGTAACCTCTTGTGTCTGGCTTCTTTCACTCAGCATAGTGTTTTCAAAGTTTATCCACTTCGTAGTATGTACCAGTTCTTTCTTTTTTTATGGCTGAGTAAAATTCCCTTGTATGTATAATATGACATTTTGTTTATCTATTCAAAATGCTTTGTAATGAGATAGAGGTAATGGTTGCACAACATTATGAACAGACTAAATACCACTGAACTGTACAATTTAAAATGGTTAATTTTGTTATGTGAGTTACATCTCAATTTAAAAAAAAACTTAATCCTCACAACAACCATATGAGGTAAGTACTATTATTCTCTCCATTTTATAGATGAGGAAAAAGATACTAAGAGGTTTTGCAACTTTTCTCAAGTCATACACTTTGCAGGTGGCAGAATCAGTATTTGAACGTAGTCCGTCTGGCTCCAGAGTCCATACTTAACCAGTGTTGTAATTAAAACTTAAAAATTTACTAATATAGAACTAAAAATTAGCTTTAAAATAAAGGCAATATAGTAATATGGGACCTACTTTATGTGTCAAAAAAAAATTTTTTTTTATGGACTAGTCTGGAAACCCAGCAGAGAGCCTGGCATAGCATAAGCCCTGAACTTGTTAATAAATGTATGACTGTATCCACCTACAAATAAAATTAATATCTATGAGAAAGTGTACTGCAAATACTAAAGGTAAATTTAGAACATAGCTATTCTGTACATTGGGGAGTTGCTATATTTGTCTCCTGACCAAGCAAACACACAGATAGATGACTATTTTCGTAAGCAGCTGTTACCTGAAGGAAAATATTTATTATATATGCAAATCTTACGCTAAGCTATACAATCATATGATTTTTCAGAATTTGAATTAAATTCCTCTTTTCATAAATACTCAGTGTTGTTTTTTTTCTCTAGGACTGCCTGTTTACTTATATAAAATTAGAAGGCAAAAAATACTGAGAAGGTAACTACAAGGCACAATACTGTTGTGCCAGAGAGGCATACAAATCAACCCATTATTTTGAGTCCCACAGAATTCTAACCATCTGAGTGGGAGTTCTATTGTTGACAACAATTACAATTTAAAAGACTCTATTTCCAGAGAAACAACCTTATTGTATCTCACCAAAATCAAACATTTTTAGTCACAACATTCTACTATGCCTTTCTGGCATTTAACCATTTGGTGCTGGGAAAGCAAATGAATTCCTACACCACACTGGCACCTGGAGCTGGAAAAGCCTTCAGAGATAACCTAGCAGTGCAGACCCTTCCCCTGTGAACTGAGAAGTCTTGGCCAGGGTTGTTAAGAGGTCTGCCTAAA